TCCCCCCCCCCCCCCTCCTCCTGCTTCTGAGCTGCTCTGGGAGGCAGCTGGGGGAGAGGAACTTCAGCCCCACAGCTTGTGCCCCATGTGTGGAGCTCCAGCAGCAGCCCCCGGACTGAAGCCTCCCGTCCCGGCACCTTCCACCTTCTAAGGCATCTGGGAGCTGCAGCTGGAGCTCCACACATGGGGCAGAAGTTTCTCTGCCCTGGGACCCTGCCAGTGGGACAGGGAGGGGGAATGATACCCCACTCTGACCAGACCTCCAACCCTGCCCATCCTTGCCTGTCCCAGCTCCAGCTGGGGAGCACAGGGGCAGGGATAACACTGCTGAGCTTAAACAGAGCCCAGCCCAGAGAGCATGCCAGGATGCTGGGGGACTCTGGTTTAAGTTAAACCAGGAAGAGCTCTGGGACAGACATTGCATACACCAGTTTGAGCCAAATCAGTTAAGTCTGATACTACTTTCAACCAGGTTAATCTGAAACTGGTTTCAGCCATTTTGAAACTGGTTTATGTTCACTGAATGTATGTTCTGTTGCAGGTTTAAACCAATTTCTGATCACTTCAACCAGTTTATGTGCAATGTCTGTCCCTAGCCTATGTGTCTCCATTCTGATCTCCAGGTACAAGGGGAACAGTCAGTCTCTCCAGGGCCCATTATCAATTTAGCCTCTGGGATGAAGCTGCTCTAACAAAGTTGATGTTTACTGCCAACTACAACAGAGAGCTTTTTTGTGCCGCTGACATCTAGGAATTGTGTTGGGGTGATTCATTACTTGTATGGGTAGAAAGGAAGGGATTATTTATTTCTCATTCCCTAAAGACAATAGAAGACTCAGTGAAAGTACAGCAACTTTTGAAGTTCACATGTTCATTTAGAATTTAATGCAGGGAAAGGCCTGGAGATCATTATACAAGGGAGAAGTACAACACGGGTATTAGGAGCATATACCACCACCACTCTAACAATTTACTATAGTCTATCCATACCTTGTTCTCTATTCTGAGATGTGATTTATACTACTGGCTACCGCAAAGAAAACTTGGAACTACAATGAGACTACCAAGAATATATCTATCACCTTAACAATCAGGAGATGGCAATGACTTTTGTTCATTAATGATCTGGGCTGGAATTCAGTCAGCCCCTTAGAGATGAAAGATTCTATATGTATTACCAATCCAATGAACCAGCAATTCCACACTTTAAACAGCTTTTTAATTAACTTGTAATACAAACAATTGAAAAATACAGAACATGGCCTCTCCCAGCCACAAGCATAAGAATTTTACACAAAGAGTATTTCAGGACTTTGACTTTTCTTTGACTTTTGACTTAAACATAGCTGGCTAACCCTTCATTGGGCCCCCTCCCAACTTTCCATATGTTTAGCAATTTTTAGTTTCTTCCTTCTGTTTTAACAAATCTAGAGTATCTGATGGGGTAATGTAAAAGTGGATGTCTTCCTTCAAACACCAAAGTTTTTTTCTTTTTTCTTATGTATCTTATACAATAAATCTATTTTATCCTGTTAATTTGGTCACATATTTAAGCTAATTGTTTCAATAGAAAAAAAAGGATTTCTTATAGGTCTTACAATAATTTTCATATTCTTCTACCTCTAAGTTTAAATGACAGGTCAAATATTCAAAGGTAATTAAGAATTCAGATAGGAACATAGTGGGATTTTCAAAAGTAGGTACACACTTAATATCACTTGGAGTAAATTAGTTATATTTGCATCTTCAGGTATCACCTACCTTTTACAAAATGGCACTACCCATCTAACTAGACTAGACTCAGGGGAAGGGAAAATTACCTAATTAAATTTTAGAACCCTCTGAAAATGACATGACATATTTTCCTAGACAGTTGAATTATCATTTTTAATGTCCTAAATCTCAGTTTCCCCATGTTAGAAACAAAAGACCCAGTTCATAGGTAATGTAAAATGGAGAGTTCCACTGACTTCATAGGCAATACATTGATTTCCTAGCAGCTGAAAGATCCAGCTGTTCCACTGCCTTATTCTATTAGAAATGGGGATCCTTGACTTTTTAATGGCCTAACTCCCAGTCCTATTCTTGATATCATCAAATCAAAACTCCATTAATCACCCAGACCTGAATATTGTTTGTCCTGCATCTTGGATGATCATAATCAGGGATCCTGGTTTTCTCTGTTTAAAAATCACAAATTCTCTGATTAAAAACACCTAAAAAAATCGCAAATTCTCTCATTAAAACCCCCCAAAATCTGCAATTTCCCATGATTAAAATGAAATGCCATATATATATATATATATATATATATATATATATATAGGTATCAGCTGAACACAATGTTTTATTGATATATTTACAATTTTAAAGTAATTTGGAAGCCTACCAGTGCCCCAATCACTATAATAAAATAAATTCTAAATACCTATACATATTGCCCCTTGATTTTGGGGATTTTTATCATGGAAAATATGAGTTCCTCCTGCCCCCTTTCCTTGCCAGGATGTGGGTCCAGCTGCAGACAGCCACTGCTTTGTGGTGCTGAGTAGCCTTGATATGCCGGTGCCCTGTCCATATCATTGCCCCTCTCTCCCCATCCGCAGACCCCCCAGCCTTGCTAGTGCCCGTCACTCCCCACCCACAGCTCCCCAGCTCTACCAGTGCCCCTCACTTCCCAGCCACAGACCCCTGCCCCTGATGGTGCCCTTCACTCCCCACCCATAGCCCCCCAGCCCCTACAGCCCTGCCAGAGGGGGCCCCCAGCTGCCAGAGTTATGGGGCCAGGGTCCTGGGTCCACAGCCACCTGCCCCCCACAGCAGTGCCTAAGCCCCGGCCGCTGCCTTCAGGAAGTGGTGGCCGCTACAGCAGAGCAGAGTGCAGAGCCCAGCTCTCTCTTCCCCATGGGCTGCACA